AGCTTGATCAGGAGAAAGCACCGGCCCCAGACGGCGACCAGGCGTGGTTGCTGCGTGGTGATCAGGAGTTGCTTCACCAGGAGTTGTGGGGAAAGGTTCACCGTGAGCATGTGTTGCGAAGTCATGTTCCTTTTAATTCCAGCTGTGAGCATTGCGTGCGTGGTAGAGGTCTTGAACCAGCTAGAAAAATCGAGAGGGATTCCGGAGAGGGAGCCCAAAAGGAGGTTCAGATCGACAAGTTCTTCTACAAGGGGATTTGGTTCCTGGTGTTGGTGCTTGTTGGTTGCTTTGCCATCGGAACAGTGATGTACCGTGAAGTTTCAGGACCGCGTGGAGCAGCAGCGCGTGAGGTGATGCTTGGAGAGATGTCGGCGTGGGGACGTAGTGTTGGCTTGGTTGGAGTTGAAGCGCGTGACTTGTCGGTTTGCGTGAAGTCGGATCTTGAGGGGGTGGTGAAGAACCTTGCTCAGGGTTTTGCTGATACCATGACCGTTGGTGCGGTTGAGGTGTCTGATGTTCCGGTTGGTCGGCACGCCCCGGTTGCAGAGAGGGCCATCCGAACACTGAAGGAAAACGCGAACACGTTGTGCGCCGGATTGGAGCAAGTTGGCCTAGAGCCATGTGGCAGAGGAGTCAGCTTTCTTCTCTCTCACTGTGCTCAGGCACACAACCGCTACCAAATCCAGCCTGGATCGGCAATGACTCCTGAACAACGTAGTTTAAGAACTATGAGGCAGCCTCGGGCGATATACGTCTGGGGAGCGTCAGTCTTGGCCACACCTCCGCCGAGTCTACGACAATTCATCACGGGCAGATATGGGCAGGCTGCCTACTTAGGCCCTGAAGTCGCGGGTGGCAGCCATCTGGTGCAGTTCCGACTGAAGGATGGTTCGTTGAAGATTGCCCGGTCAGCCCGAATCAGGATGTTGGTGCCCATGACCTTTGAGTTGTCAGCCTTGCGTGGTATTTGCCGTATGTTGCCCGAGCGTGCTGGTGACGTTGTGCGTGGCTTGCCAGCGGTTGATCAAGGGAACATGCGTGATCTTCCAATCCCAAACACCGAGACTCGCGGACCGCCAGCATCGTGGGTCGAGGAAAATGGCAGGACCCCGAGGTGTCGAGCGTGTCGATTGAGGGGTGTTCCGGCGGACAAGGCGTGGCACACTCAGAAGTGTCGTGACAGATACGCTGCGTACGTGAAGAGCTCTTTTGATCCGAGTCAGTTTGTGCTTGATGATGCCCAACATGAGTTGGAGATCGAAGGAGTTGAGCTTGATCTTGGTTCGCGTGCTTTTGGTGAGCTTGACGTCGGGTTGGAGTTGCCTGATGATGTGCAGGACTATGAACCGACTGAAGATGAGGGAGAGCGAGGCCTCGGGGAGCCCTTCTTGCCTGAAGGGGTGCTTGAGGGTGAACTTCGTCCCGGAGACCCTGTTGGAGTTGAACCTGCAGCTTCAGAAGAGGCTGACTTCATGGAAGTTGAGCCAGAAAGCCTGGATCGGGTGCCAGAGCCAGAGTCCGATGCCATGGTCAACAACGTCTTGTTCCGTGAGTCGTTGGGTTTCGCCGCTGTTGCAAATCCCAGTACCGGAGGACAGACAGTGAAGCTTGGTGGTGAGACTCTTGTGGTTGAAATGCCCTCATCTTCCAAGGATGATGTCACCGGACATGCATTGGACCTTGGTCTGACATACGAAGGCATGTTGCGTGAGTTGAGTGCGCTTGAGTCCCTTGCAGTCGGTGATGTGATTTGGCATGTGGATCCGAAGCAGAAAGTGATATCCACAAGATGGGTGTCAAATGCAAAGCTGGAGCGGGTTGACGGCAAAGAAAGACCACTGGTCCGTTGTCGGGTTGTTGCGCGTGATTTCGCCCAGGGAGCAACGGCTGCTCAGCTTGGCATTTCTGCGGCGACCAGCTCAGCCGAGGCATTGAGGACCTTCCTCTTTTATGCCGGCTCGAAGAGGCAGAACGTCGTAGGCCTCGACGTCAGTACGGCGTTCTTGTTCGCAGAGTTAGAAGAAGAAGACGGCACGGTGGTGGTGCGGCTCCCTGCTGGAGTTACCGGTCCCAATGGACGCCCTGGGTTCATGCGACTTCGCAAGGCTCTTTATGGGTTGAGAGCCGCGGCCCAGACCTGGGCTCGTCATCTCGCAAAGCTCCTCAAGCGTCTCTGTGACCTCACTCCATGTGAAACAGAGCCATGCCTCTTCTCAGGTGTGGTTCTCGGTGGACAGAGGGTGGCAGTGTTGTGCTACGTAGACGATCTCCTCATCAGCGGCGACAGCGACGAGGCCATCTACTACGTGGTGGAGAAGCTTAAGAGCGCGGTGAAGATCAAGGTGACCGCTGACTTGGATCGTGATCAGCAAATCACGTTTCTTGGTCGTCAAATCACCAGGAAGAAGGGCGAGGACTCTTTGGTGATTGGCATGGCAGGCGAGTACTACCAGGAGATCTATGAGGGTTTTGGACTTGGGAAGAGTCCGAAGTCTTGCCCGACGCCGCCGAATCTTCGAGAACTTTACGACAGAGAAGAAGAAGTCTTGGAGCGGGAGTTGAGCTCAGAAGCTGCTGCTCGATATCGCTCTACGCTGGGGCGCCTTTCATGGTTGGCCATGACGCGCGTGGATCTAGCATATTATGTTTCCATGCTAGCTCGAGGCCAGGCCAGTCCACGTGAGAAGCATGAACGTGCGATTCGGATGGTATTACGGTATCTTCGGCATGTTCAGGACTTTCGACAAATCGTCCATCCAGTTGATGAACGGAGCCTTCGGTTGGATTGCTACGTGGATGCGTCATGGGGCAGTGAGAGGAGCGTTGATCGCAAGAGTGTGAGCGGTGGTTGCATCATGCTTGGTGGTTTCTGCTTGAAAGCGTGGTCACGGCTTCAACAAGCTGTCGCTCTCAGCTCAGCAGAGTCGGAGTTGTACGGATTGGTTGAGGGAGCAAAGGAATCACTTTCAATCCGAAGGGCAATTTCCCACGTGTTTGGATGGGAGGAGTTGTGCGCACCGCACCTCTTTTGCGACTCCGAGGCCGCCATTGCCATCAGCAGGGCTGACGGCTTGAGGCGTGTCAGACATATAGATCTGAGAGCATGCTTTATACAAGATCAGCTCCGACAGCGACTTCTCTTCATCTTCGGAGTGCGAGGAGCCTCCAACGTCGCTGACCTCTTCACAAAATCGTTAGATGCCCGGACTACGTTGAAACACATGTTGAGCCTTGGTTTGTCCGAAGTCACTGTTGCAGCTTGCGTTGGTGAGTTGGCGTGTTTCGTTGGCTTGCTCGGTGCTGCTGTGGCTGGCAAGGATCATGTATCTCTTGCAGATCGGTATCGTTTGATGGAGTTTGCCAAGTGGTTGGTGGTTGAGTTCTGTGCGCCTCCCCTGTCGAGCATGTTGGCTGCGTCGCGAGTGTGCTCCTGGGTTGGTGTGTTGACTGTCAGTGAGGCAGATGACGGCGGAGACCCGGCCACTACAGCGCAGCTTCAACAGATCTGCACTCTCCACATCCGCAGGGGGGGTTTCGTCTACTTGTGGGCTAGTACTCCGTGCACCGGTGGTTGTCTGTACCAGCATCTACATGCACGTGATCCAGCCTACAGACGCGGTCGCTTGGCACGGCACTGGTCGCTACACAGGAAGCTGTGGAAGGCTTTTATGTCGCTGTGTGACTACGTCCATGCTTGGTCGATCGAGTGGCCCCGAGCCTGTGCTTACTGGTCATGGAACCAGACTATCCGTTTTCTGCAGTCGCGACCGTACATGTTGCACGATGTGTTGGTTGACGGTTGCTCGCTTGGCATGCGTGGTCGAGATGGCGAGTTGATCTACAAACGTTGGCGTGTCATCACGACGATGGAGTCGGTTGCTCGCAGCTTGTCGGTCTTTCGGTGCCCAGGTGATGGTCATCCACATTCCGCCAACTTCGATCTCAAGAATACCCAACACTACCCGGAGAAGTTGACGAACGCTTTCTTGCACGCGTTAAACGCATGACACCGCGAGATTTGCTCGGGATTCAGTAGAAAGCAAGCGCATCTACGATCCCTTTTTCATTTTAGGACAGCGAGGGTACGAGCGTTTTCAAACTGAGATTTTCTTGGACATATGCCGTTGGTCACCTGTGCAAGCTTTGAGGGCACAATGCATCACTGCCTGTGCACGTGAGTGTGATTGATGTGCAATGCAGTTTTGTGGGTCACGTTTTGCTTGACTTGCGTTTTCCTTCATGTGCAGAAATTTTCTTGAACGGGTTGCCATCCCGGCTTGCAACGCAGTGCTCAAGTGTGAGCGCCACTGAGAAAATTTTAGTCGTGTTGAGCCTCCGCTACTCCCGTAAGGGTGCCGTGCTAGAGGTTCGAGGTGCTAGTGGTCTCCCCTTAGGGGTCGTGCAAGCCGGGGGCCTGTGTGCTCTCGGTGGATGGACAGCACCTCGAGTTCAGAGGAGAGTTCCTTCAGCGGGGACTGGCCACCCGTGCCTGTCTTTCAGGCGCCTGCCTTTCAGGCGCTCAGCATCAGGCCTCGCTCGTTCCACCTTGATTCACTCGAGCGCAGCCTGGAGGCCCCCCCCAGTCTCTTCACGTACGTTCTTGAGGGTTCTCTTTGCGGAGTGCTTCTCAGTTCCAGGGAAGGGGCCCGCGTGCTCCTCTGGCTCCAGCCTTCCAGTTGGCTTGCACTTGCTTGCTCCGGCCGCGGGCCGCACGCGTGCGCCCGACAGCTTCTCCAGCTGTCTGCATAGTGCCCTTTATCCACATGGCTCAGCCCCCTCGTGCCCCAGAAGATTTGCTAGCTGGGGGTTTGGGTCCTGGGTCCCTTCGTGTGCCTGAGGACAGCGACCGGCGGAGACAGGCAGAGGTGCCTGTTCAGGATTATGAGGCTCATTTGGCTGCCTGCACTCGCAAGGTTAATAAGACGGGCTATTCTCGGTCTTGGGATTTTCGGTTGAGGCCTTCTTCAGTGCTCTTTACCGGTGTGGTTAGGTCACGAGGCATGTTCCCACCAGTGCCGTCTCTTGTGCCTGTGATCACTCCAGTGACGCCAACCGTTGCTGCAGTCACGAAGATTGCGATTTCCCGGGTCCGTTTGGACGATTCTTGGGGTGCTCACCTTGAGAGGAGGCTTAGTGCTGCCATACAAAAGTGGGTTGCTTTAGTGGTTGAGGATCCTTTGTCTTTTGACGTCGGTAGGCGGTGTGCTGCTTTCGTGGGAAATGACGAGGCGATTTCTCAGGGCCTTCTGCACACTTTTTCCGGCAAATCGGCAGGTACCTTGCACAGCCGTGCTGGGCCTCTCATCAGGTTTGTTGCCTGGGCCAAGGCTCGCCAGTGCAAGCCCTTACCCTTCAGCGAGGCGCTTTTGTATGATTTTCTGCTTGAATCCGAGAGCACTTGTGCGCCGTCATTCGGAAAGGCGTTGATGTCTGCACTTGCATTTTGCAAATTTGTGCTGGGCGTTGAGAATGTTTCTGATGTTCTGAGCAGTGGTCGGTTTGGGGGCTTGGCTCGTTCGATGTTCCTGAACAAAAGGAAGCGACGGCAGAAGCCACCCCTCACCGTTGACATGGTGAAGGCCCTTGAGAGATTGGTGATCTCCGAACGTGAAGGAGATATCGACAGGCTGTGTGCGGGGTTCTTCCTCGTTTGTGTTTTCCTTCGAGCAAGGTATAGCGATGCCCAAGGTCTGAAGAATCTTGCAATCGATGAGCCTGAAGGTTTTGCTGGCCGCTTGACAGGATATTTTCAAGGGGAAGCTTCAAGGACAAAGACGAGTTTCTCGCTGGAAAGGAAGACGGCTCTGCTCCCGATGGTAGGGCCACTTTTCGGCCTGACTGCAGTTCCTTGGTTTAAGACTTGGTTAGGTCTCCGCGAGGACATGGGCATCCCTGAAGGCGAGGACTTTCCTTTGCTGCCGAGTCGAGGGCTAGAAGGGGGTTGGGCTCCGGTCCCCCCTTCAGCTACGGTGGCCGCTGCATGGCTCCGGGGGATTCTTATTTCTCGTGGCTTCCCTGAGGCACGCAAGCTCGGGACTCACAGCTGCAAATGCACGTGTCTTTCTTGGCTGTCGAAGCACGGAGTTGATCCTCTGCATCGGCGTGTTTTGGGGTATCACAAGGCCCCGCAGGATGAGATGATGCACGTTTATGGGCGTGACAATGTTTCTCCAGCCCTGAGGTCGCTGGAGGCTGTCATCCAGGACATCAGACAAGGCCTGTTTTTGCCGGATGTCACGCGGTCGGGTTACTTCCCGACCCAGCCGCAGAGGGAGCCTGGGCCTGAGTTCGTTGAGGAGCCATCGGAATCCGAAGTTTCGCTCGATGAAGAGGACAATGTGCAAGACTTGAGAGCAGAGGAAGCGGCCGCTGATCAGGTTGTGCCGCCTTGGGCTGAACTTGTGGTTCAGGATCCTGATGCTCTGGTTTATGTTCGCCATATAACTTCAAGGAAGTTGCACCGCCTCGCTGACGAGAGTGGGAATCGGCTGAAGTGCGGAAAGGCGTGCGCGCGAAAGTTCGAGAGGCTCAGTGAGAAACCAAGGTTTATGGCTGACATGTGCTTGAATTGTTTCAAGTGAGCCCGGCTCAACTGAGGGGCAGCCGGATCACTCGGCTCATGGGTCGTGTCTTTGTGACGCAGCCGGATAGACTCGGCTATGCACTCACCGGTCCTCGCGGTGAAGTTTGATTATGTGAGCAGTTGCACCGGTGCTCGCGGTGCTTTGGTGTGCCGGTCCACTCGGTGAGCTGAAAGTGCTCAGGTTAACCGGGGCACGCGGTTTTGGATGGAAGTCAACCATGACTTGAAAATGTGGCTGTACGGTGCTGTGGTTCCGTGAATGTTGCGATTTGCATACGACAATGCCTTGTGGTTGTGAGTGTAAACTTGAGCATACAGTTTTGGCTGAAGGATCGTGTAGTGCACTTGCAGGACCATTCGCCATGGCCATCACCGAGAGCAAGGCAAACTTTTCTTCCAGGGCGACGGCCTTGGGGTTGGCCGCTGACGTTTTGAAGAAGTTCACTGATGCCGGCATTGATTGCATGAGCAAATTTGCCTTCATTAGTGCGTTCGTGCCCGGCAACACTGACGAGTCCCCTTTTACCGATGCAGTTGCTGGTGTGTTGGGGCGCGCTGCTAATGTGGCAGAGTTGAGCGTGCTGCGCAGGCTTCTTCATGAGAGCTACAACCTCACTGTCTCAGAGCTTCAGGTGCAGGTTGAACGAACGGAAGATTCTGCTCCGAGGCGGTTGGCGGCTCCCGATCGAGCCGATAGGCTTCAGCGGCAACAAGTCAGGCTTGCTGGCTTGAACATCCATGGCCCTACTCTCCCGGGTCATTCGGTCATCGATCGTTGTGTTCAGATGTATGAGGATAATTCTCTTTCATACCTACCTTTGCAGTCTTGTCCCTGCCGGGATGATGAAGTGAAGTTCAAGAAGGACCGGGATGACAAGATGCTTGCTGTGGATGGCACGGGGCACGTGTCTCTTAGGTCGCAAGCCGTGAAAGTGGAGGCCGATGTGTCCACTGACCTTTTGCTTAAGCATGCACTTACACGTCGTGGGCTTGCGCTGGACCAAGCTGGCATTCTGAGCTTTGCGGAGCATGAGCGTTGGTCTGAGGCGTTGTTTCAGGCTCGATTTCGGGATCCGCCCGACCAGTATGCCCGTGTCACGCTCCAGCAACTCATCCAGGCGGACAGGCAGGTTTTTGTTGAAGCAGCTGATCGGACCCGCCAGGGGATTCAGGTGGTGGCTTCCGGACGACCGGTCGATCGCATTTGGAGTGACGCCATGTCTTGCAACAATGTCACTCACCTGCTGCAACCCTTGCCCTTGCCTCCGCCAGCTCCTTTGCATCCACGGCCTGGGCCCTATGATGACCGCAGGGGTTTGAAGGGTCGCGGTAGGGGTAAAGGGAAAGGTAAAGGCAAGGGAAATGTTCGTATGCCTGCTGAGCTGTCCGATGGGGTGCCGGTCACCACCCGGGGCTTGCCCATCTGCTTCGACCACAACTTGGGGCGGTGTCAGCGTACCGTCACTAGTGGCAAGTGCGATCGTGGTCTTCACATTTGTTGCATCAAAGGTTGCTTCAAGCGGGATCATGTCTATACAAATTGCCCCAAGCATAAGAGGGAGTGACTAGGCTCTGAGGCGCAGGTCCACGTGACTGATGATAAAGATGTAGCACAGCTTGGTGAGGAGCTTGTGCTCTCTTCTTCCGATGATGAGATCCCTGAAGGGGAGTCATCACCGAAACATGTCCCGTGCTCGGCCTCAGTTCCGCCTCAGCCGCTTTCCAGCAACCCCGAAGCTTTTGCGTCTCAGCTGCTCAAGAAGCCGTGGCTTGAGGCGAGCGATGTTTTGCAGCTTTTTGAGATGTTGCCAATGGCCGCGCCCCAGCGTGGAACTGAGGGCAAGGCCTTTGCTACCGGAGCGTTCGCTCGGGTCAAGGTTGGGTTGCGTACTAATGTTGCTGTTTTCCCTCAGGCGTCCCGCGTCTTTGCATCGTTCGTGCGCCAATCTGCCCCAGGGCATAAGTTCACTTCAGTTGTGGTTTTTGAAGGGGTTCGCACTAAACCCCACCGTGATCAGCAGAATTCTTGTGTGCCCAATTTGGTGGTTCCTTTGTCGAGTTTCGAGAAGGGTGAAATCTGGGTGGCCACTGACTCTGGCACTGTCTCTCGACAGGTCAATGGCCAGCAGCAGAAGGGAGTTCTCTTGCCCGTGGGAGCCGGGCCCGTGCTCTTTGATGCGCGTCGTGCTCTGCATCTCACTGAGCCTTGGAAAGGCCGCCGTGTGGTCTTAGTGGCCTTTTCTATCGGTGCATTTTCGAGGCTGTCCGCCGAGGCTTCTGCCCGCTTGTCTGCCCTGCAGTTTAACTTGCCAGACCAGCCCGATGCTGTTGCGTTCCAAGAGCGCCCGCAATTGCCGGTGCGTCTTCCCTGGCCGCCTCGATTGCCCATCCTTGCATCTGTGCCTTCGGTTCCCGACATTCCTAAGCCGACTGCTGGTGAGCCCTTGTTCTTAGAGCTATGTGCTGGTACTGCCATGTTGTCGCGCTGCTTTCATGAGGTCGGCGTCCCGGTCATGCCCATTGACCACCAACACAATCGGCACCTTCCGTTGGCTAAGGTGTGTAACCTCAGCCTCACTGAGGATTCGACCTGGGACTTCCTAAGACACTTGATTGACACTTGCGACATCCTGTTTGTGCATGCCGCTCCACCGTGCGGCACATGCTCTATGGCCCGGCATATCCGGCGCAAGGGTGTGTCTGCTGGCCCTCTTCGTTCAGAGCAGTTCCCTATGGGCTTGCCGTCCCTGAACGGCGTCGACCGGGCAAAGGTCGAGGCAGCCAACCAGATTTACACTAAGCTGGGTCTTTTCCTGCAGGACTTGAGTCGTCGTGCTATTCCTTGGTCTGTCGAGAATCCTGAGTCGAGTATGCTCTGGCAGCTGCCCTGTTTTCAGCCCTTGGTGAAGGACAACCATGTCTTCTCCTTCGACATGTGTTGTTATGGGGGGTCCCGTCTGACCCACAGGTCTTTGCTCACTTCGTGCTTTGGGCTACGCCATTTTCGCCAGCGGTGTTCCGGGGGGCATGAACATTTGCCGTGGACACCAAAGGTTGCCCCAGGTGGAAAGGTGCACTTCCCTACGGCAGACGAGGCGGCATATCCGCGCCCGTTCTGCGTGCAATTTGTGGCGCTCGTTTTCCGCCACCTTGGGCGGCCCCTGCCTGCCGCGCCTGCCCCTCAGGTGTCAGCCCAGGCGTCTGCCTCTTCAGCTCGCCAGCCCCGTGGGCGTCGTATTCCTCCTGTCATGCCTGAGTTCAAGCGTGTGCTCGTGTATCAGGTTGCTGCGTTGCCCCAGGTGGATCACAAGCGTCGCTTGCTGCAACCTTTGCGGGATGCCCCGGCGGGCTCCAAGCTTATCTCCTCGACGTCGTTGCTCTCTGAAGTGGGGTTGAGTAGCGCCTCGGAGACAACGGTTCAGGCAGATGCCCTAGTCGTCGATTCGAGCTCGTCTGAGTCAGGTGACACTGTGTCTCCAGTGGGTCCGGATGACCAGGCCAGTGCGTGTTTTGAAGTGTCGCTGGGTGTGTATGCTTCCCCCGAAGAATTTGTGGAAGAATGCCTGAACGTTGAGCATCCCTTTGATCAGCTGCATGCTGCGCCTGATGTGCTCAAACAGTGCCTTTTTGACATGCTGACCAAAGGGCCTGCTTGGGTAGTGGATCGTAGGGCGAAGCTGCTCAAGAAGTGGACCCAGTGGGCTCGCGACCTTGAGGCCGAGGAAGCTGGTCTTCGCAAGTCGTTAGACCCTGAGGTTGCTAAGGTGTTGCAAGGCAAAAGGCTCCTGCTTCTTGAGAAGATTGCGTCGTCAATCGGCTGGGTTGACATGGGCGTTTTCGCTGAGCTTAGGAAGGGCTTTGATTTGGTGGGGCATGCAAAGCACACGGGAGTTTTCGCGCTTGAGCCCAGGCCTCCGAAGCTTCCTAAGGATGACTTTCTTGCTGCCACAAAATTTCTTAGGCCAGCCCTACTGGGTAAGGTAAAATCGTCTTCCGTGGATCGCAATGCGCGTGAGCTGTGGGAAAAGACGATGCAGGAGGTGGAGAGTGGTATGTTGGAGGGACCTCTGTCGTCGCAGCAGCTGGACGATAGGCATCCCTCTGGCTGGTTGCCCACTCGGCGTTTCGGGGTGGAGCAGACTTCTGCTGCCGGGCGCAAGCTGCGGCCTGTTGATGATTTCACCGAGAACAAGGTGAATCTTGCCTTTGGGTCTATGGATAAGCTGGACTTGAATGCGCTTGATCAACTTATCTGCACCTGCCGCATTTGGGCAAGGGCCATGTGTGGGGGGCATGATTGTGAGCTCGTGCTTTCCTCGGGGCTTGTGCTCAAGGGCCGTGTGCATCCTGGTTGGAAGAAGGCAGGGCATCAGCCGCTTCTGACCACGCTTGATCTTCGAGCTGCCTACAAGCAGTTCGCAGTGTCGGCCGACTCGCGAGCTTGGGCAGTTATCGCTTTGCTTAACCCTGATACGCTGGTGCCGGGCCTTTTCGAGTCGAAGGCGTTGCCTTTTGGCAGCGCGGCCTCGGTGCTGCATTTCAACCGTCTCTCGAGATTGTCGTGGAGGTTGGGGGTTGAGCTTTTGATCCCATGGGGAAACTTTTTCGACGACTTCCCTGCAATGTCACCGAGTGCCATTTCAGACAATACCATGAGTACAATGACTGCCTTGTGTTCCCTTCTCGGGTTCGCCTTTGCTGACGACAAGCTTAGCCCCTTCCAGCCTGCTGCCACCATGTTGGGGGTTGAGGTTGATTGTTCAAGGTGTGATGAGGGTTTGGTGCTCGTAAGGAACAAGCCTGGTCGTGCTGAGGAACTCGTCGTGTCTCTTGAAGAGTTTCTGCGCGAGGGAGTGATCTCTCGAAAGCGTTACCTCAGTCTCATGGGTCGGCTCCACTACACTGATTCATACATACTTGGCAAGTCGGGCCGTTTGATCATGGCGGACATTCGCTCGTGGGCAAAGGGGCATTGTTCCGATGAATTGGTCTTGGACGATGCAGCACGGGAATCGCTGCGTCTGTTCATTGCGCGTCTCCGTGCTTGTGAGCCTCGCCAGGTGCCTTGTGGAGTGGCAAGCCATGTTGTGCACGTCTTCACGGATGGCGCCAGTGAGGGTGAGGTGCACTCGATTGGTGGGGTCCTTGTAGTGCAAGGTAGGCTGCATTCGTGCTTTGGGTCACTTGTTCCCGATCACTTGATCAGCAAATGGACCTCCACGATGCGACACATTATCGGGCCGGTTGAATCATATGCAGTTGCCGTGGCAAGGCGAGTCTGGCACCAGTTCATTGCTTCGCAGCGCGCTTTGTTTTTCATCGATAATGCGCAGGCACAAGACTCCTACATAAAGGGCACCTCTGCCAACCCTCACGTGCGGGAAATCCTCCTTTCTTTCGAGGAGTCGGAGAAGCTTTCCCCTTCCTGGACGTGGTTCGCCCGTGTGGCGAGTCCAAGCAATGTCGCAGACGAGCCGTCACGTGCTGCCTTCGAGTTTCTGCATAAGGCTCAATGTCGCAGGGTCACTCCCTCGTGTCCCATAAGTGGTTTTGACCTTGTGGATCTTGGCGCCCTTGGAAAAATTTGAAAGTGGGGTGAAGGGGGCGGACGCCAGATCCGTTTCGCCCCATGCGACAAAAAGAGTGCATCCGAGCTTTCAGGCATGTGGGATCCGTTGCTTTGCGATTGCACCTTCATGTGAGTGCTGAGCTTTGCAATTCCCTTTCAAGACCTCTTAGAGTTTTCTTGGTGGTTTGAAAATCCTTTTATGAAAAGGGATTCAGTAGAAAGCAAGCGCATCTACGATCCCTTTTTCATTTTAGGACAGCGAGGGTACGAGCGTTTTCAAACTGAGATTTTCTTGGACATATGCCGTTGGTCACCTGTGCAAGCTTTGAGGGCACAATGCATCACTGCCTGTGCACGTGAGTGTGATTGATGTGCAATGCAGTTTTGTGGGTCACGTTTTGCTTGACTTGCGTTTTCCTTCATGTGCAGAAATTTTCTTGAACGGGTTGCCATCCCGGCTTGCAACGCAGTGCTCAAGTGTGAGCGCCACAGAGAAAATTTTACCCACCCACCACTCCCTGCTCTGGCCCGGGTGCCATGAGCAGTTGTGTGCACTGCCGTGCTTTGACCTGCTTGACAGACTCTTCAGTCTCGGCCCTGCCGGGCTCGTTGGTTTCACATCGAATCCGTAGAAGCTGTAGCCACAGCTCCGTAGGCAGTAGCCCGTAGCTGGCGTGCGTGCTACTCTCCCACCCGCCTCACCCACGCCCCCGAAGGGGGCGGACGCCAGATCCGTTTCGCCCCATGCGACAAAAAGAGTGCATCCGAGCTTTCAGGCATGTGGGATCCGTTGCTTTGCGATTGCACCTTCATGTGAGTGCTGAGCTTTGCAATTCCCTTTCAAGACCTCTTAGAGTTTTCTTGGTGGTTTGAAAATCCTTTTATGAAAAAAAGTTTTTCCTCCTTTTACTTTGCCTTCGGTACGGTGTATAGAGCATAGGACGTGCCATGGCTGATATGGTTGAGGTTGAAAACGCTGTGAGGCGCACTTGGGTTCGAGAGCTCTGGATGCAATGGGTTCCTCAGCAGCAGGTGGAAGTCAATTTGATCGCCTTCCTTGCGATGTTTTCCTTGGCGATGCTTGGCAGCTTCCTCGCTGGAATCTTTGTGCAGCAATACCGACAGCGTCACAGCCATATTCTATCTTTGAGTGAGCTTCTTGCCTTTCTTCCGGTGGAACAAAGTCGGAGAGCAATTATCACTACGCGGCATGGATACGCCTTTCATGTTCGCAGCGATTGCCCCGCCCTGCGCAATACCCACCCAGGCAATCTGCAGCGTCGAGTTGCTTGTGAGCTTTGTCTGCAATACTTGCGCGTGGACCAGCCGACACCCACCGTGTCGAGGGGGGGTGTAGAAGTTCGAGAACTGTGCGTCATCCTGTGAGGGTGCGACACGGTGAGTTTTGCAGTTTGCAGTTTTGTGTGCATAGCTTGGAGTCTGCTCAGCTTTTGAAGTTTTCCCAGTAGCCTGAGTACGATTAGTGGTGCAGGAACGTTTTGCCTCGTAGGGAACCACTCTCGTCGAGTTTCGTGACTCGAGGGTAGTTTTGGAGGTCTTTTAAGCCGAGCTGTCAAGTTGGAGAGCTGTGATACGTTTTCCACTTTGGCTCAAGTGACGAGCACTGGTGTGAGTGCTGCAAGCCAAAACAGAAGTGTTGTCCGAGTGTCTGAGCTTGTTTGCTTGGTTTGGACTTGTGTGAGTTGGCTTGGTTGTATCCTTGGTGCCTTGCTTGGCATCTTGGGTTTTTAACGGCAAGCATGACCGATTCCGCCGGCTCAGGTTTGGATGGCTTAGGCGGATGGCTTGCACTTCTATATCCGCATGCACAGCCATCAAGAACTCCACCAGGTTGATCAAGCAGCATCGTCATTGCAGGCACCAACATTGAAAGTGCGCAAGGACTTGAAAGTTAAAGCGAAGGTAACGCCGAAGACCCAAGCCAAGGCAACGCCGAAAGCCAAGTACACAGGGGATCGAAGTCCAAATCAGCGCCGAGGAAGAACAGCAACTTTGTCAAGATCTTCTCTTAAAGAGCGTTTCTCTCTTGATGGTCTGCTCACTTCCAGCCCTTTAGAATTGACAGAAATCTGCATTGATTTGGGAATTTTGGAGAGGAAGAAGGGTGCGTGTGCATGCGGTAAGGAAGCTTGGAAGCTGGAAAGTCGAGATGTGTACTGCAACTGGCGGTGTCAAGTGCAGAAAATGTCAGACTGTGACCAATGAAGCTTCTGATCTCTTCGCTGTGAAACTGCCCTTGCGAAGCTTGCTGGGTTCGTTGTGGATTTTTTGTGCTCCCTTGGGTCTTTCCCCTGACAAAGCCGGATTGGTGTTGGAAATTGATCATCGATCCACCAGAACCTTGTTTTCTTCTTTCCGAAAGTTCTTGACTCCGATCATCGACAGGCTGAACAACACGATGCAGATTGGTGGTGTGGGACAAGACATTGAACTTGACGAGATCAGTTTTCGAAGCAAGACAGTGGGCAATCGCGTGGTGTGGATCCGGTACCTGGCGATTGCACGTCGGGGCAGCAGTAAGGTTTGGCTTGCGCCTCTTCCATATCGGATTTCTGAAGGCGGTCAAGGAGGAGGTGGTCCGATCAGCCTGGACGAGTTGAGGGAAGCTCTTCTGATGCCAGACGGTAGCAGTCGCATTGCCCCAGGTTCCGTTTGCCACACGGACAGCGCTCGCACCTACAAACAGCTCGGAACTATGGACAGCCCTTTGTTTGACAGGGAGGTCTTCCATTCCGAGTTTGAGTCTTTGCATCTGGCCCACACGGCTGTGCGACACAAGCCCCCAAAGCCAGAGTTTGCGAAAACCTTCAATGTCAAAGTTTGGAACGGTGCCACGTGGGTCATGCAAGAGCGTGTGGGTGGCACTCAGAAGCTGGACGGCTTTTTCGCCAGCTTCAGACGTGAAGTCGGCCGCAAGCCGTTCAACGCGTCAGGTCCCACATTGGAAAGTGCGGACAAGATGGAGCAGCATTTGCACGAGCGCATGAGGTGCTTCCAGTTGGCTTTTTGGCTGTCAGGCAATGACCTGTTTCAAGTCTTTGGAGCCCTTCGTGCTGCGGAACTTGCTGCAGGTGCATCGTGGGAAACTTTGAAGGAGTTCCTCCCAGATCGTGCTGCTTCATCTGAGGACCGTGCAGACGAGGAAAGAATGCCATGCTACAACATTGACAGCGAGTCGGAGGCCATGAGTGCCCTTTTCGAAGAAGACGACTGACAAAGTCCAAACGTCATCCTCAATATTTCGCAAGCGTTTTAACCTGTCAATAGCAGTACGCTTTGCAAAGACTACCTCGCAGTCCTTGCCATGCAAAACGGTCCCTTTGCGTCTGAATGTGTTAGGGTTGCGCGGTTTTGAAGGAGCCTTCAGGTTGCCGGGCCAGGTTTTCAAGGGTGTGAGGCTGCGGGTTGTTGTTTTGGGGTCTTGGGGCACAGCTCTTTGGCCAGGGTTCAGGCGGCCTTGTAGGGCATTCTTTGCACGCTACCCTTTATATGCGCGGCGCCGTGCGCGGTTGGCGCCATACTTCCTGCGTCGCCTTCTTATTATGCGCGGCGCCACGCGCGGCTGCTGATTTTCCTTCTGCCGCGCGCGGCGCAACTCTTTCTTTTTGTTAATTTTTAACCGCGCGCCACGCCGCGCCCGGCTCGTGTGTGCCAATTCCCAAGGGCATCCCTCCTTGGGGAATGGAAGCGACGTCAGGAGACCTTACACAGCCGGTCGCGGCGGCGGGCCCAGCTGGGGTTGTGGTGGACCACGCTTTCGAGTGGGAGCCGAGACATCTGGACAGGTACGACAGGCGAACAACAGCTGGAATGGCTCCTGGCAGTGATGGGACAATTGGGGCATCCGCCCCCCGAAATAGCTTCTGCAAGAATGAAAACATTCAATGCGATATGAGCTGCGAAGAGCGATGGAATCGGTAGCCTCTTGGCTACTCTTGGATAGCCCCACTGGCTGATCACCATGGGGTAGGAAGATTCAGTGAGGCGAACACCTGATCCCTCACTGACTGGTCACGGTGCGTGCTTCTACGTTGCACTGTGCTGGTTTCCTGCCTTGATCGACACTGCCTGGCGAGCCGGGTTGGCGTGTCGTCTTGCAAATGACTCTTAAAGGGGATACCTTGGCACCTTTTGGCTGTGCGCATCATTGGCTGATCACCATGGTCAGTCGGTTGTGGCTACTTACGGAAGACCCCACTGGCTGATCACCATGGGGCACCTTTGGCCTACCCTCTCTGTGGGAGGGGTAGGCCCCGATGGGGTATTGCATCATGCCTCGGTTGCCACAACAGTCAAACTTCGACCGTTGCAACCGTTCGCGTAGGCTCACACCGCCCGTTCTTGGAATGTCGGCAATGGTAGCTGCGAGTATGTGACTATCCAACCTGCAGGTTGCCAATTTGTTCAGATGATTGCGTGATGGTGGTTTTGTTCTCTGGCACACAATCGCATTTTGCGGTTCCCCCACACGACTTGGTGCTGCTATGGCTCTGCTCAGGGACTACATCGACGAGCTTGGGTACTGAGCGCGTGGGGTCTTCTTAGTAGTTTCGCCGCCCTCTTCTGGTTTGTCGGTTGGTCGTTGTGTGGCTGCTTTGGTGGGTTGGGTGGTTTCGTCGTTCTTGGTTGTGTTGCTTTTTTCTGGCGATCTGTTTCACACCTAGTTGAGAGACCCACAAGAACGGCCTACTGTGCTACTGATGTAGTAAAGAGGCGCCCGCTTAAAAAAAAGAGTAATGACACCAAACCTGCGCAGGGCACCCAAGTGCGCCATTAAAAATTGTTTGAAGTACATCACCGATAACTGTGGTCGCCGAAGCGGCAAGGCTCATGCCCGGAGGTACTTCTTATTGGTGAAATTCCTCAGTAAAGCCGAAACCGCCCTGCGCGATGAGGCTCAACAGTTACGCCAGGTGTGTCTTCTTGGCACCTTAACTGTCTTGTAATACCCGTCCGGAGAGGCGAACTGACCTTTCCAAAAGGCGAAGCTAAGTTCAAAACCAGTGTGCTGAGAGAGGGAACGTTTCACCTCAGTTGGTGTTCTGGTGGTGCTGCTTTTTGCTGTTCTCTTCGTGGTGATGCTCTTGCTCGCTAATCCGGAACACCTCTTGCAAGTTGCAAATCAGCTTTGCCTTCCCGACACTTTCCCTGCTTCTTGCCTGAAGACAACTGACTGCACAGTGGAAGACACCAAGACTGAAGTGCAGGTTCGTAACTAGCGCTTCTTATTTCGCTGCGGGAAGTGCCCATTCAGAATACCATCCGCAGTTCTCATTGAAGGACTTGCACGTTTCCGGGCGGCGATGCTCTGCCTGCTAGCAGTGCCACCGCGACAGCTGGTGACACATTCACTTGAAGGTGTGTTTGCCTTGTCCATCCGCGAGCGTGTTAATGCGCATTGAAGGCAAGGAGCAACCCTCCACCACGCTATGCTGGGAACTTGGCTGTTTTGGACTCCTTGAATGTCTCCGACCCTCCACTTGGATGCGGTGACTGGCAAGGCACACCGTTTCCGTTGGCGCATACAACGTGTGCCGGTCGTGGCATGTTCACCATAAAGGGAGCTTTTCGAAATGGATGGCGGTTTTGTTTTCTGGCAATTGCGCCCGCATTTTGCGTTGGTGTTGCCGGTACTCTCAAGCGGAATGTTAGAATGGTGCTGGACTGGCTTGAGCAGCCTTGGAATTGGAAGCCGATCTCTAGGATGCACCTTTTGCGTATAAGGTAGCTAGCAGTGGTGTGTTGCGGATTGGCAGCACGTTGCTTGGGATTGCACAATGGCGCCAAGGCAAAGCAGGTATCTGCCGATGCTTGCCTTGATGTTTGATAGAAAAGGCTGTCGGGCTTGAAGAACCGGTTTTGGATGAAGTAATCGAAAGTCAAGGCAGATTGCCTTGAATGTAAGAGGCAGGCGTCTGCCTGTGTTTGAACCATGATGGTGGCTGCCTCGGACACTGGGCTTTTCCTCACGTTTTGCTCCTTCCCTCTCCTCTTGGGGCCTCGTGTTTTGGGGTGGGGGGTTGGAGGGGTGGCCCTTTCACGATTTCACCGCTCGCCGTTGCCGAGCATGTAGAGTTTCTTTGGTATCCCTGTTTCTTTGATGTCCGCATTTGTTGCCTCGACCTGCTCGCGATTGGTGCAGAGCAGCTAAGGACATTTGCGATCTTCTTTCGGTTGTCTCCGTTCTCCGAGATCGGCGTCTTCCGGTGTCTACATTTCCCCCGGACGGCAGTGTTTTTGCTGCTTTTTTCCTTGGTTGTATGGTTGTAAGACTATGTAGCCATAGCTGTCCTTGCCGTTTTTTCTTCGTAGGTCTTACGCATATCCCCTACAGCCCGGACAATGCAATTTTTTTGCTGAGAATCCCACAAGGAGTCCCACCAAGCACCCCTGGAGCGCCGCCCAAGGGAATTATTTTCTGATTTTTGAACCCAAAAGGATATTAAACATAATGTTTTTATTAAGGTCCTAAGGGGAGTATAGACTATATCACAGCACTGAGTGGGCCGAAGCATAGGATATGGTGCACTTTGGAAACTTATGATGTAGCTGTTGTTACGTCGTGCTAGTTGAATACTTAAGAGTGCATGCTGCGGCACCTGCCACCATTTTTTGCCGGATGTGTGAGAATCAACTTTGTAGTCAGATTTGTAGTGTGATGGTCCAGTTGCATAGCGTCTCTCTTCACCTTCTTCCCGGTATCTGTCTGCTGATGCGCCAGTAAGCGGCTTTTTCAGAGTGTAGATGTGCTTGCGTTGCACCGTTCTACGCATGGCCGAATGTCCCTTTCTCCGTTTGCGTTTGCTGTAAGGGCATGTCCACATTGTCGTAACTCACCTTCACGCCTTGCATGATCTACCTTGCCACTCCTCCTTGTGAACGCCGTGATTGCAGGAATACACGCAGGGACGACAAAGTCACAGCATCAAAACCTTTTTTTTAGAAACACACTTTCTTGCATCTGTTGGTATGGATTCTTCTTTAGATTTTGAGTTCGCAGCAACGGCTGCAGCTCAGTGGTCCGGGTGGTAGACCAAGCAGTAGACAGCCTCGGGTCCTTTTGGTATGCCTTGCCGATTTCGGCGTTTTTGGCGGCTCTTTTCGAAACGAACGAGAGTAGCGCGGTACAGGATAGTTGGCTGAGGTATGCCAGAACCTTGTGTCCCCATCCCGTATGCATGCACGTGCAAGCTACAAGTTCTCATGGTCACATAAACCATTGCACAGGATCACGATGTGAAGCTGAACATGCTGTCGAATTGCCCTGTGCTGCCAGAAGTAGCAATACTGCTGCTGACATCACGGCTCGTCCTCATCGTATCAACAGCATGAGCGGATGTGTTTGTATTTTGTTACTCATGTCTTCACGAGTTGCTAGCGCTTGTTGTAGAGCCACATGACGATGAGCAACATGACCTCAGCCTATGTGTAGCGTTTTGTGCGCAAGACTCGTATGACCCTGACTATCCTCTTGCACTCCCTCAGGCCCCCGGAACTTGAGGTAAAAAAGCCCGCGGCTTGTTGAGCACATTCGTTTCAACAGCAGCTGAACGGCATTCGCTGATGCCTCAGATGGGCGTGAGTGGTGTTTGGATGTTTGGCACATGGCTTCGGCTTGAAAATGGCTGCTAGTAGTTGAGGCTTTCTGAAAGAAAAGGGTTTGTTTTGGCGGCGTGGTTTGTTTAAGAGGATCTATTTTTTTCCATTCTATTCGGGTAGCAAAGACGGGCCAAGAACCAGGTAGTTTCTTCAGGCACGCCAAGCTTGTGGGCTTAAGGTTTACGGTTGCAGTCTGTCATGCGGCGCTGCAGAAGTTTCTGATGGCCCTTGCGGTGCGAAGACAGCAGGTTATGGTTTTGGGGATTTGGTTTGGGGCTACGGCTTGTGGCTTAACTAGTGTTTCATTCGGAGCCAGTGACTAACTATGGTTGCTGAGGTTGACACCATGTCGCACGCGACGTGCTCCTATTGGCCTGGTCCAGCTGCACGTTCATCGACAGAGTTGACCATTCTGAAAAGATGGCTGAAGCTTAAACATCTCACGTTTTTGATTGTAAGCAAATCCTGGAAATCTAGCACCCTGAGGGCGAACATGCCTCGCAGGTACCAAAACAAATGGGTGGAGTGCATGCAGGAGCTCATGGAGCAGGCGTTTGCAAGCAACGGGAAGTGTCCGTTGAGTGAGTTCACCTCTTAGTCGGTTTAGCCGGCACGTGCGTGTATGGCATGTGGTTTCCTCTGATTCAGAGTTTAGGGCGCGGGGTTTAGAGCTTACATAGTCCACTGGCCTCGCTCGGTCTCAGTCTTTGTAGGTAAGGTACCTCATGGCAAGCGCGCAGCATACGCTCACCCATGTCAACATATGTCAAGACTCTGAAAAAGGCTACGAGCGTTCAACCCTCTGTGGCAAACGCCATCATCTACGTGCTGTTGATGCTGCACACAGACATCTGCTTTTAGGGTGGCAACACATCCTTGTACTGTCAACCCCTCTCCCCGACCCCCGAAACCCTGAAACTCTAGCGAAGCGGTAGTAGCCTCGTAGCTGCAGTTTCATCATGGAGAAGCCCCTAAAACCTCAACCCTAATCCTAAACCCTAAACCCTAAACCCTAAACCCTAAACCCTAAAACCCTAAACCCTAAACCCTAAACCCTAAACCCTAAACCCTAAACCCTAAACCCTAAACCCTAAACCCTGAACCCTGAACCCTGAACCCTAAACCCTAAACCCTAAACCCTAAACCCTAAACCTCAGCCCTAAACCCTATGTGAAACGTCGAGTTTGGGTTCTCGAGTCTCATTGCGGAGGTGCAAATTGAGTACCTGCCCGTGGATGCGAAGGAGACTTGCGCACAAGCTTTTGCCTTCCAAGCCTCGGGGCAAACCCTAATAAGAGGGTTAAACCCTCTTCTTGTTTTTACAAACATTCCTTTGCTAGTGGTTTTTGAAAACCCCTCTTCTGGTAGGGTTTTTCAAAACCCTCTTCTGCTCTCTGAAAGACGCAAGCCCGAAGCCTCTGAATCTAATGCCAAGCGTACCCTCAAGCGAACCGTTTAGCATTTCCGCCTTGAGTTGTTCAGAAAGGCTAAACATCACTGGTGTCCATGCTGGGAAAGCCCAGACTCCTTGGGACCGCAAATCCTAAATCCTCGGAGCTCCGTGTGTAGCTCCAAAATTCTACACCGCAAAGCCCTAAGCCCAAAGCCCCTAAGCCCCACGACCCTTAACCCACAGACCCTTAAACCCCAAAACCCGAAATTCAAACTGCTCTAAACATTGCACCCCAAATAAACATCAATCCTATGATAAGGCCCGCCCAACCACATACCGTACCCCCCTGTCCCCCCCACGACCTCAAAGCCTTAAGCCCTAAGCCCGAAGCCCGAAGCCCCAATAAGCCTGAAGAATCCGTATTTTCGGAAAGTCCGATGGCGAGGAGAACGGGCAGCACTTCGAACCAGGGCCATCACCCCATTGTTTCAGGGTTTTTCATAGTTTGGGTTTGAGTCGGTTTGAGGTTTAGGGTTCCTTTTTTGAGGCATGCTTGTTTGATGTTTACGAAACCGGAGACCCCGAGATTCATCCCTGTGTGTGCATCCTCTTCGATGGGGTTCAGGGTTCAGGGTTCGGGGTTCGGGGTTCAGGGTTCAAGGTCAAGTGAAGATTTTCTGCGGCTGTTCATCGGGCAGAGTTCGACTTCTTTTTCGATAGCCGCGAGCCACGATCGGAAACCCTAACCTTCTTCAGCAAAACGGGGGACCGTGAGAGCTGTTTTTTTTTTGCTTTTTCGATTTTTGTCTACCATGGTGTCCCATATATATATATATCCAAATTAATGGGTTCTGAAGTATGGGCTCTTGGGTTTGAAAAGCTTCTGAAGGGTCCATGTGAAGGTACCATGTAAGCTACCCCAAGACGAGGTTCCAGCACTTCGCACTCCTGTACATCAAGTACTTGCAGATCTACAGGCATCGGGCATGCCACCAATCGCGCTTGAGGAACTAGGTGGGACTTTACTACAACTTTATCACTTTATAAGTTTCGGGTTCCTCTAATTTCATATCAAGGGAGCTAAAAGTTAAACTTGTATTGGGGGGTTCAAGAGCAACCAAGGGAAGTGGGGCAGAGTGGTACTGGAAGGTTTCTGGGTACTTCTAGGCGCAAGCAGAACTGCACTTGTAAGCATGCTTCACTCCTCTAAGTAGGTTAGAAGTATAGTTGTATTTTGGGGTGCACCTCCAAGTAGAGCAAATTCGGAAGAACGCCAAGCAGGTCCTGGCGTCAGTGCCCTCTAAACCCGAAGCCCCAAATCCTAAATCCTAAATCCTAAACCCACAACCCAAACCGCAAACCCCAAGCCCCAAACCCAAAACCCAAACCCTACACCCTAAACACTAAACCCATGAAGGACTGTTAGTTTAAGGGGGAACATCCCAACCCTAATCCCACACCCAAAACCCAAACGCCCCACGTGAAGACCAGAGCCGGAGCCTCTGAGCTTTCACCAAGCAGACCTGATCTTTCCGGCTTGGGGCTTGGGGGCTGAAACCGTAACCCTTAAACCTAAACCCTCAACCCCAAAAACCCTAAACCCTAAACCCTAAACCCTCAACCCTAAACCCTAAACCCCAAACCCCAAACCCTAAGCTCTAAGCCGTAAGCCCTGAAGCGAGGCTTTTGACCCGAAACCCGAATTCCTAGGCATTGAGCCCTGGGGGGGCCTTGAACCCCAAAGTAAACGTTCCAGGACGTTCTATCACAAGCCTTGGGGAAGGCATGAGTATGTCTGTGGTTTGGGGTTTAGGGTGTAGGGATAGTATACCATAGCAACTCTGAACCCCGCAACGGGAATGTCTTGCTTCAAGGTTTCAGGAGGCACGTGCGGTTTGGGGTTTAGGGCCCCGGCTTCACTGATCCTGCCTGGGGTGAGGCTGATCATCTTCAAACCCGAAACTCTAAGCCAAGAACCCTGAACCCTGAAACCTGAACCCTAAACCCTAAACCCTAAACCCTAAGCCCTAAATCCTAAACCCTAAACCTTACCTTAGATGTAAACTCTGCCAGGAAGCTAGAGGAGTGCCACGACCAGATGGTGCACCCGCAAAAGCGCGGCAGCATCAAGAAGGCTGGGCTGGGCAGCTGAAGCGGCAGCCTGGGCTGGGTTTAGGGTTTAGGGTTTAGGGTTTAGGGTTTAGGGTTTTAGGGTTTAGGGTTTAGTCTTTTGGGGTTTAGGGTTTAGGGTTTTGGGTCTAGGGTTTAGGGTTTAGGGTAGAGGGTCTGCCCAGATCTCCTGCCTTTAGTATGTCAAGCCCTGCAAGATATTAGAGTTATAGGATATACATGTTTATTCCGAACACCCCATTCCGATATTGCACATAAACTGCAGCAATATTTTGTATATAGTTCTATCGCAACATAGGACACGGTATTCTGCTCATGCGCCAGTTACAAGAGTCTGACACTCTGCCAAGCCTCACAGTGGTGGGCTTCTGGAAGTGGTCGGATGAGCTGGCAGGTCTTGAAGAGCACCATCATCCGAATCCTGGAACTCAAGGAGCAGGCGGCATGTGGGGTATTGGGTTTAGGGATTTAGGTTTCGGGCTCAGGGGTTGGGGTTCGGGGGGTTTAGGGAGTGGAGTGTATACGTGGAAGGACCTCGCACAAAGGCCCAACCCTTGAGCCTCAGACCCTTAGGCCCGAAACCTTAAACCCTTAGGCTCTGATTTCTCAAGCCCCTGGCACTTCATCCTACGCCCTGAAGCCTTCACCCCACACCCTCCAACCTTGAACCCCGTGCCCTAAACCCTAAACCCTAAACCCTAAACCCTAAACCTTAAATCCTAAACCCCACACCCTAACTCTTTTCTGCATGGACCATTCCAGGACGGGCTTAAAGGTTGAATCCCCTGAAGCGCTGAAGTGGGCACACTGAGTGCTGGGTGTGGCTTGGAAGCTTAGCCATCAGGACTAAATGGGGGTTTGCGAAAATAGGGGACCCCACTATCGTCCCCGCCCAAACCGTAGGATTCCCTTATACCAAGAACCCCAATAAGGGTACCCCTAATATCGTCAACCCCCAAATATGACCCCAGCCTTGCCGCTCTTCCTTCCTTCCTTCCTTCCGTCCCAAAGCTTGAATCCCAGAACCTTGCGGACCCTCAGCCTGAAACCCTCGACCCAGGACCCTACAGAATGCTAAGCCCTAAGCCCGAAACCCTAAACTCCCAACCCTAAACCCCAAACCCCAAACCCTAAATCCTAAGCCCCAAACCAACCCTAAACCCTAAACCCTAAACCCTAAACCCTAAACCCTAAACCCTAAACCCTAAACCCTAAACTCTCAACCCTCAACCCTATACCCTAAACCCTAAGCCCGAAACCGCAGCTCATCACCTTCAACCTCCGGCCTCTCAACCGCTTCGTCGCCCTCGACGAGGCCGGAGGGGAGGGGGGGGCGGTTTTGGTTTGCTGGCTTAGGGTTTAGGGTTTAGGGTTTCGGGTTTAGGGTTTAGGGTTTAGGGTTTAGAGATGAGAGTTTAGGGTTTCGGGAGTTGAGGGTTTCAGGGTCTCAAGAGGGGTTTCAGGGTCTTAAGGGGTTTAGGGTTCAGGGAGTTGAAGGTTTCAGGGTCTTAAGGGTTTCGGCTTGAGGATTTTATGGGTTTCGGGTGTTTGGGGCTTGGGCTTCGGGGAGTCTACGGTGTGTCAGTGGTCAGCATTGAGCGTTTCATGGGGCTTACGATGTAGGGCAAACCCCAACACCGTAAGTCCCTAAACCTCGCAAGCGCCCCTCCAGAAATCTTAGGGAAGTTCCATGGTCCCTCAGTATGGTCCCCTTGCCTTTTTTAAAGGGGTATGGGCCCTTGGATTGTGCAGGGTATAGAAGGGGTATATACGGCCTCCCCCATTAAAGGGCGCATCTTAAGGACCATGCCACGACCCCCAAGACAGAAGCAGCTTGAAAGAAAAGGGGCCTTCCGAGATTAGGGGGGTACCTTCTTGGGGTCCTTATGATACTGGAATCCCACTATTTGGGGCCCTAAATCCTAAACCCTAAATCCTAAACCCTAAACCCTAAACAATAAACTTTAAACCCTAAACCCTAAACCCAAACCCTAAACCCTCAACCCGAAACCCTAACCCTAAACCCAAACCCTAAACCCTAAACCCTAAATCCTAAACCCTAAACCCTAAACCCTAAACCCTCAACCGAGGGGTCCCTTGTTTTCGTAAGCCCCCAGAGAACAACCAAGCCCAGGTGCTAACGGACCTCAAGCTCAACCCGGAGACCGTAGAGTGGAAGGCGCGCTTCCTTTTTTTATTTATATTTTTATATTTTTGAAGTTTTTTTGTGTTTTATTTTCTTTCCTTTGTTGTTACTTTAGTTGTTTTTTGGTGGTTTTGCCCTTAGCGCTTTGAAAGGTTTAGGGCTTTGGGGTTTGTTATTTTTTTTGGGCCTATGGTTTTTAGATGATTTCATATGCGAGAACATACCGTAGTGCACTAGAGTGTGCCTTACATGCTGGTACGGGTCTATAGTAAATATACTGTAACTATAACAACAAGATGTTTACGGGGTTCTTAAGGGAGGGGGAGTTCAAAGGGGTAGGTACCTGGGGAACGTTAGAGGGAAGCCTGGGGAGCCTTCAGGGAGTAGTGGGGAGTCTTAGAGAACCTTGTGTTACATACCTCGCTTGAACCACCCCCTCCCCTAAGAACCCTATAGTAGTATAACAAACAAGACCATAGCGACACACTATGACCATTGGGATGTTCCCCCCCCTATACTACCAGTCCTTAGTAGGGGATTATAATAGGGGGTGCTAGAATTCCTTTTCAGGACTCTTTGTATAAGGGGGAACCTCCCAAACCCCATAATACTCTAACAAGCAAGACGTTGTTGACCCTCCAAGGTTCCCCTAAGCCTCTAAACCTCTAAAACCTCTAAACCTCTAAAACCTCTAAAACCTCTAAAACCTCTAAAACCTCTAAAACCTCTAAAACCTCTAAAACCTCTAAACCTCCAAACCTCTAAAACCCTCTAAACCCCTAAACCCTACACCGCAACCCTAAACAGCCAAATTCAGCTCCCAGGTGCCCCGCTACTTCCTGGATGGCAAGGAGTGCCGTGAGGAGATCGAGGACAAGCAGCACAAGATCGACCACTGCCGGGCAGCCCAGGGTCGTTGACTGGCTGGCTTCGTAGGGAATATGAGGGAATTTGGGGGGCCCTATTATACTCCCTTTAAAGACTCCCTTAGAGAGTAGAGGGAATCTGGGGGCCCTATTATACTCCCTTTAAGGAATTCCCTCAAAGGGTATACATAGGGCCCTTATATACTCCCTTGAAAGACTCCCTACCAAAGGGGTATACATAAAGCCCCTCATCTTCGCCCCCTTTTGAGGGGCTTCTTCTCGGACTTCGGGCCCAGGCTTTGAAATCCCAAACCCTGAGGCCCTCGAGCCCTACACCCGAAACCCTAAACCCTAGAACCTTAAACCCTAAACCCTACACCCTACACCCTAAATCCTTTGAACCCCTAGAACCCTAAAACCCTCTTTGGTTCCAGGGCTGGGCGTCTTCGGCATGTCTCTCGATCCCGACGACCTGCTGGACAAGAAGGACCCCTTTGAGGCGGCGTCTTCGTTCCTGCTGAGTTGGCTCCCTTCAGGGTTTTCCGTGGGTTTGTTGCTCGTTGTTTTTGTTGATTTTCAGGGTTGCTCTTTGTCTTGGGGGGAGGTGGGGGGGCGGGAGGGGACGGCGAGGGGCTTAAACCCCAAACTCTCCACCCTAAACCCCAAACCCTCAACCCTAAACCCTAAACCGCAAACCCTCAATGCTGCTCTTGGCTCATGGGTGGCTCATGCTCCTTTTCTATGGTCCCGGGGAGGCCCCAAAACCTGACAGGTCGGGTTGACGACGGATCAGGCGGTGTGGCGCCCAGATGAGGGTCTACTTGGAGGTTTAGGGGTACTTAGTAACCCTAAACCCTAAACCCTAAACCCTAAACCCTAAACCCTAAACCCTAAACCCTATGGTTTGGGGTTTCGGGTTTAGGGGTTTCGGGGTTTATGCATGCTATCCCTGCGGACATCCCAGGTGCGTCCACGGCTGAGACAACTAGCCCTTTAACCCAAACGCTCAACCCTAAACCCTAAACCCTAAAGCCTAAACCCTAAACCCTAAACTCCCCACCTAAGTCGAGGCAATTCAGGCTTAGGCTCCAAAAAATAGTTTAAGAACCTCACTTCTGCTCAGGAGGCTCAGTGGCAGGTGTTCCTAAAACATTGGGTTTGGGGGTTTCGGCCGGGTTTAAGGGTTTGGGGTTAAGGGTTTAGGGGATGCAGGGTTGAGGACTTAACGGCTGTAGGCGGCGTAGTTTTCGCATAACCGCAGGCCCCTAGGATTCTCGGTCCATAGCCCGATCTAAATACCTCTTGCGGAAGGCTTATAGGACGCGCCCTGCTTGGGAAATCCTTCCTGAAGCTCTCCCGAACAACTCTGGACACACGCACACCTGCCTAAACCCTCAGCCCGAAGCCCTAAACCCTTAACGCCTAGAAGCTCCCAACTCCTATGCTCCAAACCCTACCACCCACATCCCTAAACCCCTAAAACCCCCCCTAAGCCCTAAGAAAGCCCTCCATGGATTCCGAGGTCGCCATCATCCAGAAAAACGAGCCTTGGCTGGGTTTAGGGTTTAGGGGTTTAGGGTTTAGGTTTTAGGGTTTAGGGTCGCTTCTGTAGGATTTAGGGCTTTGGGTTCTGGGGTTCTTGCCAGAGTTTGGGGTTTTGGGTTTTCGGGCTTAGGGTTTTTCGGGTTTGGGGTTCAGGGCCTGGGCCTGGGGCTTTCGGGATGAAGGACTTCAGAGTTCTGCGGCTGTGATGGTGCTTTTTTAGCCCACCCTCGGTCTGGGCCACGAAGTATCCTTACTCGCCTGTCCGACAATGGCCGGGCTGTAGAGTGTGGATGTTTGAAGATTATTGTTTTTTGTTCGTCCGGGGTTGGGGGGTGTGGATTAGGACTTAGGCTTTTGACGTTGGGTGCGCGGCCAGTTCAGGGATGTTGAGGGGTTGGCCAAGGAGTTGGGGTTTGATGTAGTGGTGCAGGGTGTTCGAGGGTGGCTCTGTGATTTTATCCCCTAAACCCTAAGCCCTAAGCCTTGGGATGTTTCCCCTTATACTAACAGTCCTGAATAGGGATTATGGTGCCCCCCCTACTATAATCCCTGCGAAGGACGGCTTGTTTTAGTGGGAAGATCCCGACCTAAAACCCTGAACCCTAAACGTATGGGTTGTTGAGCTTACGGCCTTTCTGCTTTCGGATATCCGGCTTTTTTAGTCCAAGGTTGCAGGGCTGAACCCGGTTTCTCGGGATCCTAGACTCATGAAACGTAAAGTCTGTATCTGAATCCCTGAACGCTCAATAGATGAAGTCCTGAACGCTAGATCCGAAAATCCTAAACCCAAAAGCCTAGACCCTAAACCCTAAACCCTAAACCCTAAACCCTAAACCCTATACCCTAAACCCTAAACTCTAAGCCCTAAACCCTAAACCCTAACTTAATAGCTGTGGTTATCCCACTGAGAAGTCCTCTAGCTGTAGTATGGGGGTTTCCAAACTTAGGGGAACCTTTTTGGGGTCCTAAGGGGATCCTACAATTTGGGGGTCTATCTTTAGGTGTCCTGTAGTTTCGCTTGTTGCTTGCCCCTTTCCTCCCTCATAAGCAGTTGAGTGAACCACTTGCAAGAAGGGACTTGCTTCTGCGCAGTCCCCTCGATTCTTACTTAAGAGTTTCATGGGTAACTCTGGCCCAATTCTAGTTGTAGATATAAGCCAAGTATAAGCCCCCCCCGAGTCCCGAATATGGGTGGCTATACTTGGGTGACAAGTGCAGTGGTTTTCCTGCGTCCCTTGAACCTTCAAGCAAACGTTTCGCCTCCAAGCCGCCCCAGGAGCGGGGGCGCATGAACATTGTGAAAGCTGCCCGGGGCCTGGTGTGGGTTAGGGTTTAGGGTTTCGGACTCAGGGTTTAGGGTTTTGGGGGCTGCGAGGGGCCATGCGATATACTACTGGCGTAGTCTCTACAAGTAAGCCCTGAACCCCTAGACCCTAAACCCTAAACCCTAAACCCTAAACCCTGCTGAGAATTATTCGGACCCCGGAGTTTGGTCGAGGACCCCCTGCTAAGGACTGTTAGTATGGGGGGGAACATCCCGACTTCAACCCTTCAAAAGACCTAAGCCCGAAGCTCTAAACCTCAAGAACCTCGCCCATGAGAGGGCCTGTGTGGCTTGGGAGGTAGAGGTGCGACCTAAGTTCCAGGCAGCCCCATGGGCACAGGACCTCAAGGATGTCGTTGGAGCAGTTCTCAAAACGATGGTCTCTGCGCCAAGTTCCTATGATCATGCCGCATTCTCGGGCGGGGCGATTGGGATTCATGTCGAGTTCGCCCTCCCAAACCAGCACCGCCTAGCAAATCTAGGCCCTCCCCCCCCAAGAAAAAACAAACATGCGTGAGGAACGTGGACGCGGGGGATTCGGCTGCCAGTTGCTCCAAATCGTAAGGCCCTAGCGTCCACGGGGGTCCTGGGGTTTAGGGTTTTGGGGGTTGTGGGGTGTTAGGGTTGTAGGATTTTAGGGCCTTAGGGTTTTCGGGCTTTACGGTTTGAGGGTCGCAGGGTTGTGGGTGTTTAGGGGTTTAGGGCTTTAGGTTTCCCCTACAGCCTAGGCCTAGGCCTAAGCCTCATATCCCGCCAAGGATCACCGGGTACAGTTCTTCAAGGCGTCCCGGAAGGAAGCATCAAAGAAGCAGGACCGGGAGTCTGCCTCCAGGTAGCGACGGAGGGACATTGCGAGAGGAGATGTAAAGAGAGAACAAGAGATATTACATATATATATATATATATATATATATATTTACAAACAAGTAGATATGTATATCTGATTGATGTATCTTTTATTGGGGGTTGGTTTTCTCTGGGGGGGGGGGAGAGGGGATTACCCTAAACCCTAAACCCTAAACCCAAAACCCTAAACCCTAAACCCTAAACCCTAAACCCTACACCCTAAACCCTAAACCCTAAACCCTCAACCCGGAGCCACGAGGAGAAGGAGGCCACGGAGGATCCGCTGGAGAGCCAGGCCGGACGCCTGGAAGCTGCAGCGTGGGGTTGCCCAAATTGGGCTTGGGGTTTAGGGTTTAGGGTTTAGGGTTTAGGGTTTAGGGTTTAGGGTTTAGGGTTTAGGGTTTAGGGTTTAGGGGCTGTTTAGTGCAGGGTTTTGGGGATTCATCCCTACTAACTAACAAGCTCGGGGGTGGGCCTTGCGTTTCGCAGGATCTTGTGGAACCAGCCAATGCCCCAAGCCGCCAATCCCCTAAAAACCCTGAACCAAAAACCCGAGAACCGAGAGCCCTCAACTCCACTGCCCAGCCCTAAGCGCCAAGCCCCAAACCCTAACCCCTAAACCCCCAAAAAGCCCGTGGGGAGGCACCTTCGACTGCAAGAAGAACCCACGCCCTGAACCTCAAGCCTTAAACGTCTTCAAAAGCCCTGAACAGCAGGATCTTTGGCGCTTTCGGGGCTGCCCAGGGTTTCGCGTTTAGGGTTTGGGGTTTGGGGTTTGGGGTTTAGGGGACACAGAGCCTAAAGTCCCGAGAGCACGAACGCCTCTCAAAGCCCGAGAGCCTCGAACAACTCTAAAGCCCTCGAGCCCCCCCTGAGGGTTTAGGGTTTAGGGTTTAGGGTTAATTCGGGTCAAGTTGCCAGAGTCGAAGCCATGTGATGTATGGTGAACCAACCATATCATGGCAGCTGAACTCAAGCTGCTTGACAGCTTTTTTGGTTCTAGGGTTTTGGGGCTCAGCAGTTCAGGGTCTGAGGGTTCAGGTTAAGCCTTCAACAACCCCAAGCCCCAAACCCTAAACCCTAAACCCCGGGTAGGTCCTGGCTGCCACGCGCATCGCGGCCCACTGGAAGCGAAAAGTCCGGAACTTGGGTGTTCTGGTTTAGGGTTTAGGGTTTAGGGTTTAGGGTTTAGGGTTTAGGGTTTAGGGTTTCGAGGAGCGCCTTTCCCAGATGCCCCTAGCGTTCGCCTCCGAAAGATGCCCTCTAATGCTTATGGTGCGATGCCCAAAGCCTCTGAGCAACAGGGTTTGGGGTGTAGGGTTTAGGGTTTAGGGTTTAGGGTTTAGGGTTTAGGGTTTAGGGTTTAGGGTTTAGGGTTTAGGGCTACACCCCTCTCCTTAAGCAGTCGAGTCGGAGGGACTTGAGCTCTAAATCTCAAGCACGCAGACCGGGGGTTTGGGGTCAGCCCTCCCCACGCAAGGCATGGAATCCCTGTCTCACCCTAAGTCCTACAGCATCCCTAAACCCCAAACCCCAAACCCCAAACCCAAAGCCCCAAAGCCCCAAACCCCAAGCCCCAAGCCCTAAACCCCAAACCCTAAACCCTAAACCCTAAACCCTAACCCTGAACCCTAGACCCTAAACCCTGGAATCCTTGTCTCACCCTGAGCTCCAGACCCCTCGCACGTCGAGCCTTCCGAAGCGCCCAGGTGGACCGGCGACGCTTCCTGAAGATGCGCGAGGAAGAGCCGCTTGGCTTTTTCAGATATTTTAGGGTTTGGGGTTTAGGGTTTGGGGTTTAGGGTTTGGGGTTTAGGGTTTAGGGTTTGGGGTTTGGGGTTTAGGGTTGAGGGTTGAAGGCTGAGGGGTTTTGGGTTTGTAGGGTTTCGGGGGCCTTGAGGAGGCTTATGGGGGATTCAGGGGGGTCTCAACCCCTCATTCCTGCCAAGTCGTAAGTCTTCAACCCTTGCCGGCCCTTAAACCTTAAGTCCCCAAACCCCACGCCCGAAGCCCGAGACCTCATGGGGCCTATTCCTTGCACCCCTAAGGTTGTGCTCTTGGGGTTTGGGGACCATTTTTGAAGATCCTCTGAGGGAATATCATAATGGCCATATGAGAGGAGTACATTAAGGGAACCTCTTACGGGCACATCCTCAAGGGTCCAAGTTTCACTCCCCTCCCGACCCTGAGTTCTCAGTCTGTTGTCGCCCTGAGCGGTAGAGGGCTTAGGTTTTAGGGTTTAGGGTTGAGGGCTTGGGGATATATGAGTGCAGGGACACTCATGTGAGTGCAAGTGAGTTAGATACCTCTGCCCATCCCCCTAAACCCGCCGCGAATCACAGAGTTTGAAGAGCCACCCAACCTTGGAACATCCTAAACCCTTACCCTAAGCCAGCCTGAACCAGGGGGGGGGGGAGGGCAGAGAGAAAACCCACAAACCGTGATTCCGATTAAGCCCAGCCCTAAACGCCGATAGCCGGGGTTCATTTAGGGCCTCAGCCTAGGTTTAGGGTTTAGGGTTTAGGGATAGCTTCCTCTACTGTACGTACCGCTTCCGCTTCCATCATCCTTCAATGACCTTTACTTTCCCGGAGCCTGAGCACCTTACAGAAGCCTTCTCTGAGCCCTAAAGCCCAAACCCCCTAACCTTGAATATCCTTGAACCTTCTGACCCCCGGAAGCTAAAGACTCGCCAGGTTTGAGTTCCTTGGCATGGCGCCCCCCAAGAAGGACAAGGAGAGCTTGACGGGTTTAGGGTTTAGGGTTTCGGGTTTAGGGTTTAGGGTTTAGGACAAGGAGCTGGAGGGGTTTACGGACGAGTTAGGGGTTAGTTCGAGGTTATGTGGGGGTGAAATGGGGGGTTAGGGGGAGTTAGGGGTTTAGGGAGCTAGGAGGAACCAACGGTTTATAAGGGGAGCTGAGGTTGAGCGGTTCAGGGAGTTGTAGGGTTGAGGGGTGTAGGGGGAACAGGATTCTGGGATATAGGGCCCCAAGCCCGTTGCAAAGACCTAAGCCCCGCCCTCTGTGTATGGGGTGCTGGGCTTGTCTCCAGCTGTTGGACTGCATATAGGGGTTATATAGTGGAACAAGATTAAGGGTCCCTTCTAGCGGTCCCTCCTTATAATGCCCCTTGATTGAAGGTGGCCAAAGCGACTAAGCACTAAACCCCTCCGAGCCCCGACTGGCAGAAGGCTTTGGGTTTCTGTAGGACCTCGCCGTTTAGGGTTGAGGGTTTAGGGTTGAGGGTTTTGGGTTTAGGGTTTGCCGAGGTGTTTATGGAATCAGGGCGTTTGCGGTTTCTTTGCCAGGGGGAGACAGACGTCATCACGGAGATGGAGAAGCACCGCGAGACGAGGAGCAAAAACCATGTGTGTTCCTGGCAGCTGTACCCGTTGGAGGGGTTGAATGCCATCAAGGGTCGAGGTGACAAGTTTGCGGGGTTTGTCCGAAGTTCCTGAACCCCTGATTAGAGTTAGGGTTTAGGGTTTCGGGTTTAGGGTTTAGGGTTTAGGGCTTAGGGTTTAGGGTTCTACTTTCTAGGGTTTCGGGTCCATCGACAAGAGACCAGGGCTGGCGGGGAACAGATCGACACAAGATCAACGCCCTCGGAGTTGACACAGAGCCGCAGATCGCACGCGGGCCGTTAGAGCAACATCAATATATGAATGCTGTGGGGGTCGGAACAATTGCTAATCGTGATCCCTTATAGTTCCTGTAGTTTTGTGGGCTGCTTTGATATCCAATGAAAAGCCGGCCAAGACCTGGTGTGTAGGGAAGGAAGACTTCTGTTTCACACGCACAATTCCTGTATAAGTATACTATAGTAACCCCAACATCCTCTTCTAATCATTAAGGCTCCTATATACTGCTACAGCTACCCAGTGCTATTTTGAATGATCTCGGACGGCTTGGAGCAGTTTGGGCCTACACCTACACCTTGAGGTTTGGGTCTCATGATATTTCGGGGTTGGGGGAGGGGGGGGGGGGGGGGAGTGTTTTTGTGGGGCGTTTGGGGTTTCGGGGGTGGGGGGGAGGTTAAAGGCTTAGCTACCTTGTAGTTGAGAGCAGGACGTGGTGTCGATGGACGCCCCGCCCCAAGCCCTAAGACGCGCCTTGCAGCGAGGAAGAAGATGCAGGAGGACGCCGACGACGTCTTTGAGAAGGCCTTAAGCCCTAAACCCTAAACCCTAAACCCTCAACCCCTCAACCCTAAACCCTAAACCCTCAACCCTAAACCCTAACCCCTAAACCTGAACCGTAAACCCTAAACCACGGCGAGTTGCAGTTTGGATGCTTTTAAGGACCGGCTCGGTACTTCCAGTGTGAGGCCCTCTTGCTGGGGGTTCGGGGCAAAGCTTCTCCCAAAAGAGCCCTCAACCCCCCCCCCCCCTCCCCCCAAAAATCCCCCCCAAGTTTAGGATTTAGGGTTTAGGGTTTAGGGTTTGGGGTTTAGGGTTTAGGGTTTAGGGAGCTCTCTCCTCCCCTAGGCCCTCAAAGAGCAGCTGGAGTGGCTCCAGAAGAAGAAAGGGGCCGACATCAAGGCGGGGAACTGGCAGACGAGGCTTCCTTGTATGTGGGCTGGTCCCCTTATACTAACAGTCCTTAATAGGGGCAAAAACAGGGGGTACTATAATCCCCAATGAAGGACTGCTAGTATAAGGGGAACCATCCCCAAAAGATGGGCTTAGAGTCCCGGCTGAGACGCAGACGCAGTGCGATGAGTGTGGGTATAGTTTGTGAGTTTTTGTTCTCTTTCTTGCTAGTGCTTGATCGGCCTCCATTACGGTTTTTTCGATGGGATGTTTGGTGCCAAACTCCTCAAATCGTAGTCTGTTTTTTGGACGCAGGCCGAGCTGCTGGAAGAGCGGCGGCAGTGGATCCTCGACTACTGCCAGGACGTAATTCGTTGGGCTGTCTGTTCTTGGCATCCGCCGAATTTTTGGTCAGGGGTTTAGAGGCTGCTACGATCTTTGGGCCTGGTGTTCGACAGGGCGTAGTTAGGGTGCGGGGCGGTCACTTGGTGGTTCATGGGTACTTCGAACTCCATTTCTCAGTCTACTTACAACCTACTTACAGGACTTAGGGGGCTTGTGAGTGCAGTTCGAACTGGGGGTTGTTTTGTATGTACCCATGAACCTCCAAGCATACAGGAACCCGGCTTTTGGGGGGCATGGGATGTTGCAGTTTCGAACCCAAAACCCGAAACCCTAAAACCCTAAACCCTAAACCCTAAACCCTAAGCCCTACGCTGGCGTGGCTTTGGGGCGGTTTTGGGGTGTTGGGGCCGAAATTTTCGGGGAACCCCGAGAAGCCCTCAAGATCTTCGAGGTGAAGAGGTAGAACCCCGGAGATTCGCCCGGATTCTCCCGGAAGGACCCTGAGCACCAGAAGGAGTTTCCCGAGAAGTTGGGGGCCCCGGAGCTAGGAGAGGGGCGCAGAAGTGAGTGCGCTCAGGTGGCTCATTGGGCTGGGGCATGGGAGCCCTGAACCCTAAACCCTACACCCTACACCCCTAAACCCCCAACCCGAAACCCTAAGAGGTTTCAACCATGTAAGTTGATATGGAGGGTTTTTTTTTGTGCCTTGTATGGGCCTGAGATGGCGTTACTCTTTGATAAGGGGGAGCGGTATCTTCCTTCTAGGAACCTGAAGGGTCCGGTCCAGGTACCTAAGGGTTTTAGGGTGGTATAGGGTTTAGGGTTTAGGGTTAGGGTTTAGGGTTTATAGGGTTTAGGGTTTAGGGTGTAGGGTTTAGGGTTTAGGTTAGGGTTTTAGGGTGGTATAGGGTTTAGGGCTAAGGGTGTAAGTGTTATGTGTAAGGTGTGGGACGAAAGCTTCTATCGGGCACAAATTGGTCAAGTTCTCTGAAACTCTGAGGAGCCACAGTAACGGAGAAGGGAGAAGGGCCCCGCAACTTCGACTACCTTACGAATACACCCCCGGACGCTTCTTGTGCCTAAATAGTATATACTTCGGCCCCAAGGTCGTTGCATAGTGAGTACGTTTAAGCCCAAGCATTGCGCGTTTACCTAAACCCTAAACCCCAAACCCCAAACCCTAAACCCCAAACCCTAAACCCTAAATCCTAAACCCCCAACAGCCCAAAGAACCCCAAACCCCTGATTCATATCATGCCTGTGAGTCTCGGAGCCCTCGCCCCCAAAGCCCAACCCCAAACCCTAAACCCCGTCTTCTTCCTATTCCGTGGTGTCTTAGTATGGGCCCTGAAAGGGGACCCTCCCATACACTCCCTATATACCCTCTACAACCCACGGGCCCGTACTTCAGAACCTGTTAAAGAAGGTAATGGACCATATTAAGGAGACTTTGATTACCCCTAAACCCAGACCCTAACCCCCTAAACCCCAAACAATAAACCCTAAACCCTAATCCCTTAACCCAAAACCCAAAACCCTAAGGGACCATATGACTGCCCTTAGATGTAGTTGCGGGAGTCAGGATAAGTGTTTCGCAATTTCCAGGTTCGACGCCTTCTACCAGCGCTTTGACAAGGCCCAGGCGCCACCCTTCGGTTTCCGGGTTGGGGGCCTTGGGGTTTAGGGTTTGTGTGGCTCTGCTGCTTGAGTCCGATGGACGCGCTCAGCTCCACACGACTAGGCGATGGTCACCATCACCCTGTCGCCTTGGCACGTTACCTGAAATGGTCCCTCACGAAAGTGTGCATTGCCACCTCTCCGGCGCCATGCCACGATGTGGGTACCAAGCTGCACGAGGCTGGCCAATTTCTCAGCCGTCGTGGGATTCAACAAAACAGTTAGTGGGCAAGCTTCAAGAATTTCCTGCGCGGGAACCGTTTCAGGAAGCAACAGGAGGAACTCTACAATTTCCTTGAGGCATGTCGTGGAGTCGTTAGCATGTCTTACAGCAACACTCCAAACAAAAACAAGTGGATCCAGCGGCTTAGGCATCTCCTGCGGTGTCGCAGCTGGTCGCATGCAGGCCCAGAAGGGCGTGGGGCCGGGCGTGCGCACGGCGGGCTTGCGGCTCAAGCTGGTCTCACATTTATGCTCTGTACTCAGAAAGCTCAGATCAGCCTCAATGTGTGCTGTGAGGCATTTGGGGGCTTTTCTCAAATGGAGGCGAAGCCTGGGCGTGGTCCAAAACTCCATGGAACACACTGCGCATCGCGTACCTGCAATGTGAGCTGTGGAGCTCGCATGCAGATGTCTTCGGGAGAGGTGAGAGCACAACGCAGCGCGCGTGGAGAAAAGACCACCACAAACGACACATAGGAAGCCAGAGTGGCCAGAAGCAGCCGGCAGGCTGAAGATCCCACCGCCTTCATCGTGCAAGCGACACAGGTCTCTCGCTTTGCGAACAAGGCTGTTGCGCGCCTCAGCTTGTTTTCGGCCAGCTTGCCGCTTCAGCGCAGCAGGCAAACGTCGAAGCCACGTCAGGTGTCCATGCAGAAAGTGTAGCGCTTCTGCTCTTGCCTGCGGCAGCTCTATGCCTGCCTCAGTGTCACAGGCAGCCTCACGGAGTGCATTGAGGGCAGCGTCTAGCCACTCCGGGGCCGCTTGAAGGATCGACCACAGGTAGCCCGGTCCCTGCGTCGCGATCGTGTGCAGCTGCATGGCTCTGGCCGCCGTCACATGGACCTCTACCGGGAAGAGTCCGGTAAGGGCGCAGACCTCCGCATCAGTCAAGCCTCGAGAGGAGAACCCTGTAAGCGGTCGCGTCATCTTTCGGTACCACCCATACACATGGGACCTAAGGCGAGCCATCGCGCGCTTGTCGAGGATCCACTGTCCCATGCCATGCATGTACCTTGTCAGCACCAAGCAATGGAACAGCTGCCCTTTTTCGGTCACTGTCAAGGCGGAGTTGTAAAGAATGGCCCTTCTGAAGGCATTGAAATTTGCAGCGGCGAGCGCATGTCTGCGATCGATGTCCTGCATGTACTTGCCATCATCCGTCACTAAGCCTCCTAAGTGCACATAAGACTGCGTCAGCGCCAGTTGAACCTGCACTCCATTCTGTAGGGTAACAGGCAGAAAGGGCTTCTTGGGGCTCAGAAGGCGCTGTCGGAGCCGTCGAGACCCTGGTCCCCTTAGTATGAGCATCGCTTCTGACTTGCCTCTGTCGAAGTTCATATGCAGGCCCACCTTGCTCATTTCTTCGTGCGCAGTCACGGCGGCTTGCTGGACAGCACTTGGTACTTCATCTGCCCTGTCACTGAGGAGCGGCACGGCCACATCATCAGCCCATGTCGGATGTGGCGCGCTAGACCCATCATCAGCGAGCACGTCAAGTCCCGCGTTGCTCAGCCGACTTCGAAGGCCATCCAGCACTGTAGTGAAAATTACTTGAAAGAGGGCATCAGCCAGAGGGGCACCAGGAGAGGTACCAGTGGCAGTAGACATTAGAATGCTGGCATCGGCGGCAGTGGTGAACCATGCATTGGTGAGGGTGCCTTTCACATAGTTGACCAGCGCGGGCGGCGCATCGGCAAGCAGTCCCGGGCCAACTAGTGCTGCAGCAAGCTCGCGCTGTTTGTCCGGACAGGGGTGAACGCGCTGTATCATGTCTGCAAGACTGGCTTGAGAACGAATCGCCCCATCCTTGAACAAAAAATTCCTAATGACGCTGTAGTAGGCATCTTTGGAATCAATGAAGAGGATGGCGCCGGACTTGCCTTTGGCCTGAAGGTGCTGCAGGTGAGCACGTACGTGCACCATTGGAAGCGCAAGGGGCACACCACGCTGGGATCCACACTGGGCCTCGGACGCCAGCTGAAGGAAATGTCGGACAAGCAAGGGTCTGAAGGCCTGTCCTACTGCTTTACAGGCAACCTCATGTAACATCACGCTTCGCCACCCATTGAGCTCTTTGAGCGGCTTAGCTGGCTTCGGCAGCGGGACACTCAACCCGCCGCTCCACAAGAAAGGTGCTTCTCGCCCAACAGCCATGCGCAGTAGCAAGGGGAAGTGGAGCGCTGCTGCATGTATGGGGGCGGCGCGGAAGGCTTCCGCCGGGATCTTGGAAATCCCAGTGGCTTTGTTGCGCTTCATCATTGCAAAACGTCCCGCAAGTTGCATCAAGCTCGGAGTGTTGTCGGCGTCGACAGGCCCAAGGGCCGCGCTGGGCAGCGCATCTAGCTCAGCTCTGGTGCTCTCCTGCGCCTTTTCAGCAGCCGCGAAGTATTCTGCGAAAGTTCTTTCGACAGCTGTTTGGCCTGCGACAACCTGCCCATCAACTTCAAGCGCAGGCGCGACCCTCAACGGCCAATAGGATCGACCCGTACGCAAGGTGTTGCGGAGCAAGCGAGCGACAGCTTCGGGGCCGTCTGCGCGCGCCTCGGCGAAAGCGGCCCGGACGTGCGCAGCCGTGTCTCTGCGCATCAGCACGCGGATCTGGGAAGTGGCTGCACGTATCATCTGGCCGACTCTTGCTTGCAGAAGGCTCCACCTCTCTGCATGGTCGCGTTCAGTTCTGTTCCTACGCCAGCTTTGGAAGCACCTACGAAGTCTTTGAAGATTTTGCATGCTTCGAATGCGGTGCAACTGGCGCCGCAGTGCCCGTCGGTGTCTGATCCAGCGCCATGTGTGGTCAGAAATGCTTGGCTGTCGGGGTCGCTGCCTGTGAAGTGGGAAAGATGCGGCTAGCTGCGTGCCAAGGTATGAGTTAAGTTCATGGAGATAGTCGTCGGCGTGAGCAGTCCATGGCAAGCAAGGCGCTGACTGCATGATTCTGACGACTTCTTCTCTGCCATGAGGGGTGAGCATTGCAGCTCTGTCAATGGACATAGGGCTACAGGTAGGCAAAGCCGCATCTGTCCATTGAACACGTGCAACAACTGGCACGTGATCAGGCCCGTGGATAGTGGGGAAGTCGCCCCAACTGCCCTCAGTCTTAAAGCCGTTTCTTAAGCTGTCCGGCACAAGCAGGTAGTCAATGCACCCTGTTTTGCCTTTACCACCGACCCAAGACACTACCGGTCTAGAGCACTCATCAACTTGAGCACTGCAGCCAAAAGCATGTCGAAGGGCAGTCTCCCTCAGCATCGTTGCAGGCAGATTCTGAGGTTGCGCAGCAAGTGTATCACCGCCCGCTGGCCCTTGTTGGAACCTGGCGTTGCCGTCCAGGAAAAGGAAAGGCCGGAATTTGCGTGGTATCATTCGCAGACAGCTGTCCAGCCTGTTCCACCACGCCGTGACTATTTCTGTTCCAGCTGCAGCAGTAGGGCCATGCCCCACTACACACGCCATGGCCATGCTTCCTAAATCAAGCAAGACAACCAGGAGTCTAGGCTCAGCGACAAGGATGGAGGCTTGTGAAGGACAGAACTGCACTGCCTCTCCAGTATGGCTCTGCGCGAAAGGACAATCTGCTTTGACCCAGAGCTGGCACCCAAACTGGCCAGCATCATTGGGACCAGCGTAGACATGATACTCTCCCTGCCTAGACGGCTCGGCGGGCGTATACCTACATTCCTGCAACCCTATGAGGTGGACATCCCGCTGCGCGAACAAGGTGGCAATTGTGTGCCTCTGCGCCAAGGATTGGAGAGACAGTGTGTTGTAAGTGGCCATGCGGAGCTGCCAGGTCATGACTGGCGGCATCTTCTGGGTTTTGCAACGCAAGTTAGGCTTGACATGACGGCGTCTGTCACGGTTCGGCCACGTGCACAGAGACGGATGACTGCTGGGCTTTCCCTGAATAGGTCTCATGGTGCCTGCCTCATCAACCGGCGGTACGGCATGGGAAGGCACAATGGCATTGTCATGCAACCAACACCATTGGAACTCAGTGCTGAGCACAACATTGACGATGTGGTCCTGCAGGATTGGGTGGCGGCATTTGCCCTGCACAGCTCTTTTGGCAGCAACATCCACAAATTCGTTGAAAGGGTTGCCTGTGTGGCTGGA